AAAGCAACCCCCTGCTCTTCTGCACAGCAGGAAACGCAACAAGAGAAGCAATTGTTTTCATGACCACACAAAATCAAGGACTCAAGCTGCCTGTCTGAGTCAGTGTCTGAGGCGAGATGGACAGAATGCTGACAAGAGCATTAGCATGCCAGGGAGGAAACCTCATATGCTGAGGCTGTGCCCACAAGTGGCGGGGGCGGTGGATTTCCACACCAGGCCACCGGGTCAGAAGTGGGACCGAGGTTTATGCTGAATCTCTGGGCCATCAGGCAGATCCTTCAGGATGACTGTAACTTAATGCCAGGAGGGCTGTGGGTCAACTACAAACAACAACAGTCTGACTTTGGTTTGGATGAGGGCCCATTGCACAAAAGTACAGGAGACTGTCGATTTGACTTTAACACAGTCCTCCCATCAATAAAACAAAGTGCCTGCAAATCAGTGAACAAGACAATTTCTCCATGCCCTAGTTAAGTCAGTCTCTCACCCTGCTTTACATTTCAATCAAACTAATCAAGGGCCTCTGAACAAAAGGAGACCATGTAAATTTTGTTCCCCAGCAGGCAGCACAGCCTACAGTGAAAAGTGAGCTTATTTTCAATTTTCACCCAGATTAGCAAGCATGCTTTTGATATTGTCAGAAAGATTTTTCTCTTCCAAGGCGTCTTGAGTGAGTGGCCTTTTTAGTGCCTGCTTCAAAAAGCATCCCCCGTACCCGAGCAGCTGTCACTTTCAGCAAGCACTGTGGAGGATGGAAGCGGGGGAGGGGTCCTTTGAAGGAATGGTTAAAAGTGGGCGATAAAAATAAACTGGGAGAGAGGAGAAAATTAATTATACATAACAGACAGTTCACTTGGATGAGCACGACAGAGACAGAAACTAACGCCACTTCCCTCAAAGAAAAAAAAGAAGACATTTTCTGGCTGAGGACATTTCTGCTCCACCACCACAGTGGTCATATTTACTGGGCTATATCTGAGGTGACGGATGCAACAAGAAATCTTTTTAAGTAGTTCATGGCATTGAACAATACAGACCACACTTTAATTTAAAATTCTCCACGCCGGCGCTCACTTCACGCGTTCTCTCTCTAATTCCCCCAGTTTCCAGGGACCAAAATAAAGTCAGCTGCCCTCATCGCACCCTCCTTCTTCAGAACGTGATGAAGTTAGCAGACAGCTCAATCTGACTTTAAATTCACTTCTGATTGGCGCTGATGAGAGTTTATGCTGCTGGCTCACCTGCAAACTCACCTCTTGATATGATTTGTGATGCACCAGCACTTCACAGTTCAACACCGCCCACTGACTCTCAATCCCAGCTTCTTATTCGGGCCAAATAGAGGTCATTCCTATTTGAGCAGTCAGTCAAGACAGGCCCGCCAGGTATTGGCAAGTGAGTTTATTTCATATTAAGGCTTGTCGGCTGGAGGGGTGTTAGCACCATGAGAGCTGCAGGTGTGTGTATGTGTGTGTACAACAGGGCCTTCGGGTAGAGCCCTGCTGCTGGTCCCTCTTTAGTGCATTTTAATACTGCTGTTGCTCTGTAGTTCCTTGCCTCGGGGCGCCACACAAACCCCAGTGAGGCCAAGTAAAAATGCGGGGCAAGAAAGAGAGGATTATTCAAGGCTCAGATAGACGGAGATGGGACCGCATGAAGAAACAGAACAGAATGTGATGAAAAGAAGGAAGACAGAGCTACAGAAGGAAACAAACTCAAAAGACAGAAATGAAACAAACCACCAACAGGGCTGACATCTTTAGCAGACTGACAGAAATGAAAACCTAGATAATAAAAAAATACAACCATCTCCATTAGCTGTTAAATGAAGCAGATATTATATTACAGCACTGCCTTGTCAAAAAAAGCCATCAATCACATGGGAGAGGGAGGGATCCTCTCTCACTAGCAGTAATCAGAGGTGTGACGATACACTTACGTAACTCACAACGTGAGGCAATACACAACACTGGGTTCACGAGAATGAGATGACAATGTTTTAACACTATTTTTAAGAAATCTTCAAAAGTCTTTTATTCAACTGAAAGTCATGAAATGCAAAGCAGGTGCATGTTGAAACCTTGTAATGGTTGCAGTTCTCCTTTCTGAGTAGGAATTATCATATGCAGTAAAAGACAATATGCAGGCACTTCTCTCCTGTAGGAGTCTCTTCAGACCTTATAGCTGTGCATGAGCTTCTAACTGAAGCTGTGCGTGACCTTCTGTGCTATTTTCACCCTCACCAGACGGTGACATCATCTGGCAAAGATGCTGCATTGACCAATCACATAGAAGGGACAATTGGGACGAGGACATCCACGGGAAGAAGACTCTTGTTTACCTTGCTATTCAATGTAGAATCTGGGTTAACACACCACAACGACATGCCATGTGTTTTCCTTAGTACTGGATGCTAAACAGTGTTTTCAATCAGTGCCGACACACTGGTGGTAGAATTAGCACTAAGGTAGAGTAAGCTACATTAGCATCATGGCTAACCAAAACACAACAGAAACTAACAGGCTGGAAACGGGAATGAACCCATTACTGCCACCAACTGGACTGGAGTCATCATACTGGCTGCACCTCTGGTTCTTTATGTCCTGGTAAAGCAAGCCAGCTTTTGCCTCAGCCAGTAACATCATAATGTTTTACTATCGCGAGATCTCGTTGCACCCCTAGTAGTAAATGCTTTTTCATGACCTGAACCAAAAAGCAGCAATGGAATAAGTCTAGTCACCACAACAGAAATGTACAGGATAGCTGGTTGAAAAATATTAGATTGAAGGTTAATGCTGTTGAAACTTGTTCAAAGGGAATTGGGCAGAGAGAGAGAGAGAGCGAGAGAGCGCACACAAGAGAAAATGACGATGGAAGAGTGAGGCACACCTTGTATGTGGAGGGAGGAAGGTAAACTCACACAGCTGTGTGCTCCTGACAGGAAGGGAGGGAGAGAGAAAGCCAGAGCGGCAGGAGGAATGGCAGAGGAGCAGAGGGAGGTAAGAGGAGGAAATGCCTCAAGAGGAGGTTGTCACACTGGTTCAAACTGCCAAACAGTACAGGAAACTGGAAAAGGAGCTGGATTTTGCAGTCTAGCAACACTACACATGGTGGGTGTGAACGCAGATCAGTTGGCTGCATGGTGTACAGCGTGCCCTGAACAACACGGTTATGCACGGAGAGTCTTTTCACATGTATAATGTCAAAGAAGTGAAACAGTTTTTCTCTCCAGCTGGGAAAGTCCTGTGAACATGAAGGAATTGAATTTAAATCCTCTCCTTTCATTCCTTTTCCTAAAATCCTTCATCAGTGTATGCACTAAAACTAAATGTTAAGGACTTAGGGTGCCAAGCCTCAATTTAATTCTCACTTGAGCTCAGCTCTCCTGCCTTGTCATCCATCTACAATCTAATTAGACCTAAAATATGCAGCTCGCTGACAGGTCCACAGGAATGCGACGGGGGCGAGCCACACAAAGGGAGGAGAAGAGAGGTGCAAAGTGCACAAGTCAGGCTGGATTCCAAAGTTTGGACATCACAGCTTTACCCTTCACGGCAGCAGACAGACCGGACAGGGCAGTGACACCGCTGGCCGACTGTGGGGCAGATCTCTATCATAATTAGGGAAGATTGAGGCAAATTGCTTGTAATTTTCTGGCTGGATTGGCAGCTTTCATATAAAATGCCATACAAGGTGTATGAACTTTTGTTGTGGTTGAACACAAGTACAATTATTATAATGATAATCACTAGACGTTTTCCACAGGAGTAACCCAGAACAAAACAATGTGTATGGGAGTTGTTGCTGTGTTTGGTTACATTACTGCTGCTCCTCACACTTTCTTATAAAGTAAGGCTTGTTTTGACAGATCTTAGATCCACGTTATTGTGCAGGCTCCTTGGCGAGATGTCAGTCTGTCTGCGGCTGAATGATTTAAGGCGGTGACTGGGCAACACCTAAATAAACACTTCAAGGTTCAAATCCCAGATCATTTACATGTGAATACCGGTCTCTGCATTGAACTGTCAGTAACAATCTGCTGCTTGACTGAAGGGAGGCAAAACTGGGTCATGTCACTTATAATCAAGTGTTATCACTGCGGTCACGTGATGCCTCTGTCTTACAGAGGTGTTCATGTGGCGCAACAGAAGATAAGATACACCTAGAAATAAATATTGCAGTGAGTGTGTCGACATGCACCAGTCTGGCCCCAGTCCCCCTCCTTTTCCTCCAAACAGGGTTCAAATTATGTCTAAACCCATGCTCGTCTAATATGATTCATGAATACATGTTTAAAATGGGCTGCAAATGAATTCACGGGGGTCGGGGTGGGTAGTCTAATTTGGTTAACAAGGATTTGATTAAAGATAGAAGTGAGGAGAATCCGGTGGAGCAATAAGAGCATTTTCAATAGCTGGCAACCAATGCGCACTCAACACACCCACAGACGGTCCTCACCACTCCATCCACACTCAGAGACTAAATTCAATTGCTGTCGGATAACAAAGCTCACAAATTGCCTCTCATTCGTTAGCAGATTACCGCCGTTTTCACACCACACCAACACAATTTCCAGTTATTTCGAAGCTAATAAGGGAATCGATTTTTTTTTTAAGCAAGCACCACGACCCCCTGGAGAAATCCAACACAACTCCTCCCTTAGATCCATTTAAGAAACCCGTGGCAGCACACGTTCAAATAGGAGAAAAGAAGCAAACAGTAAACATGCCTGAAAGCAAATGTTTAATCCAAAGCAACGCAGCCTTCTCCGGTCTCCCCGGACTGTCTACCAGCCCCGTGAATACCTGTAACCTGCCGGTGGTGGCGTTTCTGCTCGGCGGCCTCAGAACAGCCTGAGCCTGCAAGCTGGTCCGTGCCACAAAACACTGGGCCAGCACGGGCTTTTTCTACACGACTAGTGCCAAATGAGGGATTCCCAGACCATAAAAAGTCGGTCTGATTTTACTGCAGCCGACGACCACCAACCAGCCAAAACTCACCTCACACTGCACCAAATCCGACGTTACTTGCAAAAACAGAAAAAAAGCCTTTATTAGTTTCAAGCGCCAGGTGTTTAGCGCAAAATCATTCTAAAGGAAACGTCCAGGTGAATGAAGTTACCAAGCTGAAGCCTCGTTCTGCGCCCCAGATATCCGCAGTTACACTTCGGCGTGGATCGATCAGACTGGTGGTCACACCGGTGCGCACATTCAACACAAGCCTCCACGCACCGATACGCACCGAATAACTGCATACTAGCGCTACTCTACGGATCCTCTCCGCTGCCGGGCTTGGTTGGAGCCTCAAACTGTTCAAACTCGTGGAGAAACCAGACGCCGAGGGCGGAGGAGACGCGGGGAAAAAACACAACGACAAACTCAACACACGGAGCAACGGGGAGGAAAAGCTAAATATTTCTACCGGCGCCACCAAAACGCGCTCCTTCCGCAGGAGGAGAAAAAGCCCCGCACCGAAGTTTTCATGGTACTTACAGGCTCAAGTGATCCTTAGGATAGATATCCTCGCCATGGTTTTAAATTCCAAAACTTGAGGACATTTCCACTGATCACGGAGCAGCGGTGCTCTCTCTCCGGCGGCTCCCTGCGTGTGAATGGAGAGGAGAGGAGAGGAATGCAGCTCCGTCTCTGGGAGGAAGAGGAGGCGCTCTGCTGCCGCAGTACCTCAATAAGCCGATAGAGGGCGCCCCGAACCGGCTCCTCCTGCGGGCACGCATACACAGTATTTTAAGCAGTAACCTTTCCCACACTCATCCTCACAAGATAATCATGTTGTTCTTGATTGCATTTTATTTTACATTTATTATAAATATTCTTTTATCCTTTCATGCAAGTTAATTATTATTTGACCTTTATTATATTTCTGACAGTCATGTTCTCAGGTGCTGTAATGAACAAAAGTCATGTTCCCAAGATGACTGAACTTATGTATACAGTGAATAAGGTTCATTAAAAAATAACATTAAGTGCCTTTTTGCCCCTGTAAGGTCAGCAAAGCAGAGCACCTTCATCAAACTTAGGAACAGAACAGAGTACTCAAACTCAGTATGGTACTGATTACTTTCATTGTTTTGGTCATATATAGTATGTATTTATTCTAGTACTAGACAGGTATGAGAAAGTGGCAGAATACAAGGTGAGGAGGAATAAAAAGGATTCTTTTCCTCTGTGCCACATTTTGACATAAAAGACCTAATGTTTTTTTAAGAGGTTTTGTTGTGGGAGTGACAGATTGACTGTAAAAATACTCCCAGATGTGATCGTTTAATTTGACACTGAAATCTGTCACCAGAATGGCTATAAAAATGAAGCCAACATAACAGATATAAGTACAGGTAAGTAAACAGTCTCAGAGAGGACTCTACCTTGGGGCCTAACTTAAAAATGTAAATAAAACAAAATTAGACGATAAATATTATTGGATCTGTTATCACTCTGCAACAAGTAATCCAGTATTCTTTGTGTCATCATCATAAATCAGAGGTGGGGGCCTTAAGTCACATGGGGGCCTAGTCACTACAAAACTCACAAAGAAAGGTGAGTATGTGAATACGTCTTTTCAGCTAACATAAGGCTGGTCAAACATTGGCTAAAAAAATTAATAATCACAAGAGGATCATGAAATAAAACTTAACTTTTCGTGATCACCTTCATTTTAGCCATTTTAAATGTGGAAACTGTGGTAGATTGGTAGAATTTTGTAGGACTCAACTTGTGACTTGCTTCACTTATAGTAGGTTTCACTTGCTCGACTCTCACCACAGTAACTTGGCACTTCCTTGAAACTTGCACATGTGTGACCTGCTCCTCTGTCATTGATACATTTGAACTTATTTTTGTGACTTAAAGCTTAGACAAAAGACAGAGGAACAAGGTTCCATAAGAACAGGACAACAGTGAAGGAAACACTCAGACAGCGCTATGTGGGGACAACAGGGTGGGGGGGTAAAGAGTGACAACAAATATTTGCAGCTCAGCTGAGTGACATTAATAATGAGGAAAACCCTGACCAGCATGGTTTAGCCTCAATGTGGCACAGAACATTTAACACCTGCAAGTCTCTTCTACAACAGCTACATTCACAGTGAACCGTGTTTAATATAGAAAATACCCCTGGTGATGATGGGAGACAGGTTCGATTGTGAGTTCTACAAAACAAGGCGAGCTCCTAATTAAATGAAGAAGCCTCCGGGGCCTGCCTGTCATATCCCATCAGCTGACACATTCACACTGCCTAAATTACGCTGTGTGACGCGCCGATGACAGATTTCGGGTACAAGCTGCAGCCGTAAGGCTATCCAGCCAACTTGTAATTCTTATACTTTTTTATGATATGCAACCTCAAGACAGCAAAAGTGACTTTGAAAGCTGAATTTTAATATTCATCACACAGTCAGTAAATATCAGGAGCTTAAACAAAGTGTGTTTTGGGCACGGTTCCATGCACCATCTCTGCAGCAAGGAAGCTGTGGGATAACTGAGTTATTCAAACAGGCAGCTCAGGTTACCAATTGTACTCAGGAGAGCAGAGAGCAGGATCTGGCACTAACCACACCACCTGGCTCCATGTGATGTGTGTTCTTGCGCATGTGTGTGTGTTTCATAGAGGAAATGTGTGTTTTTGATTGAGAAAGATAAAGATGTTGGTGTGTGTCTTAGGTGAATTAAAAAAGCTGTTACATTTCAGACAGAAGATTTCCCGAGTCTGTCACACTACCCAGCTTTCAATGGTTTTCTAAAGCCCACTGTCTGCCATTAGAAATGGTTGGTTTGGCCATAGCAATACTAAGAGATTAGCCTCACTTACCATGTGAAAGACCTCTGGACAAAGCAATTCCCTATCTCACACTTGAACACTAACACATTGATTAGGTCTGAGTTAATGCAGTTCGCAGCCACCTAGCTCCACTTCAGGGCAACTGTGAAATCTCATGGGAATGTTTTCAGCAGGTGTGAAACCCAGCTGACTGAGTACAACCTTAGCCTTATGCAAGCCAGGATCAAAAGTCTGCATGCAAAATGAGCAGTCACCTATTGTGCTTGTGTGTGTTGTTTTTTGTTGAAACACAATAGTGTGTGGAGGAACACTCGATCTTTTATTATGATCAAAATAAATATACTCCACCTTAAAGATGCTTGAATAAAACACTTTTTTCCTTTCTGTATATGTACCAACCAAATGAACAACCAAAATCTGTTTTGCATATAGTGCTCAGTGATGTTTTTCATTTTTTATTTTTTAATGAGCCAGATTAATCTTGGCTGTCATGATTTGACTAGACAGTGCACAGACCAAGCAGCTTGGGCTGAAAGCACAGAGAATATTAAATAAACTTACACATTGTCTGTTTGGTGGTTTGCTTCTGCTTTGTTCTCTATTTGCTTTTTTTTATTCATGCACTATTAATGGGCCTGTGTGTGGCAAGAAAAATAAACATTTTTTAAGTGAGCAGAAGATTACAAGAGCTGACTGACTGCAAAAAGAAAAGAGTCCCTGTTGTCCTTGAAAATACACACAAAGACAACACTAACCTGCATTTGTGCACAGAAACATACTGTGCAAACACAATGAAAGACCTAAGCAAGGATGTGTATATTATTACTGTACACCCAGATGGTCAAAACACAAAATCACAACCAGATCTATTTTTGGATTCTGCAGCTTTTCTAGCTTTTACAGCTATTTTCTCTCTGAAAAGACACAACAGGCTTCATTCATAGGGAGATCATCATTGATATGGTCATGCACTGATACTACCTCATGTTTCCAGTCATTCCTGCAAAAAACAAACATGTCAATAGATAAACAAAAACCCAGTATTTTAATTCTCATAACCTGAAGTGTTTGTTCCTCACTAGAAGTCAGTGTTGTCTCATGAAACCAGATCCTTCTTTCCTAAAAGCAAAAAAAAAAAGAAAGAAAGGAAGACATCAGATCTGTGCCAATTAGGTACAACTAATCAGATCTGAGTCAGTGGGTGAAGTGCAGATTTAGTGGCCTTGTAACCCAAGGTGGCACAGCTCTGTCTAAACAGGTAATGAGCCGGTAATTGGCTAACAACAAGATGGCTGACTGCTGGATAGCACAGTTACAGGATATCATCTGGCTAAACTTGTCGGATCTGCATGTACAGTCACTCCAATCCCATTTCAGCTCTTAGATTCTTCAGTCATTATGGAGCGCTGCCATCTGTGCACGCCACTGCCAAACAAGTGCTTCCTCAAAGTTAAAGCACCCTTCTCTTGAGTTTTGTACAGGTACTGACTTATTGTGCTGTTATAGCAAGGAACAATATTACACATGCTACATGGCTGAAACACTAATGTCTTCAGTAAGGAGCTATGAGTTAAGAATATTTACAACTTAATTATTCATTCACAGTGCATTCCAGTTGTGGGAACCCAAGAGACTCTGGAGACTTGTTCTTTAAATTGCTGCAACCTTATAGGCAGGGTCATTGGCCATGATTTATTGTGCAACTTCTCATAGGCCTCATTTATCTATTAAATGCAAGTGTACACCACTGGGAATATCTTTAGTTGCGTCCACCACATTAACATCCATTAGCAGTGAATCACCTGTCTGCACTAGAGCTTCTCAGCTGCTGAATGTTTTCCTATGGGCTGCAATCTGTCATAGTGCAGAGAAAAGAGTCATATTTTCCAACTGCTCGTGAATCATTTGAAGGTTTGAATCACACTGAAAGAGTAGTAAGCCTTAAAACTGATCCTTCTAACTAGCGATGTGGCAGGACCACCGTGAAAACATATTTGTGATGTAGTTTTTCCTCTGATAGACCTCATTAAGTGTTAAAAACATATGCTAGAGGTGTGTTCAAGCACACTGCACTGGAAAGCACACCTCATAAGGCGTTGCACTTCAAACACAACACTTATAATGTTCCAGCTGCTAGTCGCTGAGTCAGGCACACTGACTGTGGGCTACTTGTTGAGAAGCTAGTTAGCAGGTTTGCTTTCCCTCCCCCCTGTCCATCTATTAAAAATCTAGGTGAGCCACAAACTGTTTCTTTATGTCGTCTCCTGTCTGCCATCAAACACTTGTTGTGACTTTTCTTTGTCAGCTTCAGATGTGCCCACCTTGGGGTGTGCTAACAGCAGCCCTTTGATTAAACGCAGCACACTTCATTATGATCAAAAATTACAGGCCTTCTTTTGATACTGGCTTTTTTCATTTCATGGGTGTGAGCTTTGGAGGACAGCGAGTAGGGAAGGAGAAAGAGAAGTGAGGGAAGGGGGGCCTTGATGTTTGTGGTTGTACAACTCATAGCTGTTTTTGTAGATGTCCTTTAAGCGACTGGCTCACTTTAAACTGCAGTCCTACCTTTGTGTGGGCTTGAAATAATGTTTTAGCATATGACTTAAAAATGATCATACAGTTTTCCTCCTCCACCTTGTCAAAAAACATTTATAATACACTCTGCAGCAGCAATGTGCTTTGACATTA